CCGCCCTCCGCCGCCCGGTCCGACAGCGCGGGGCAGCCATGAGCGCCAACCCCCAGTGGGACATCAGCAGGGCGCTGGGAGTGGCCAGGCTCTTCCACTTGCTGTGTGGGCTGCGGGATGCCTGCGTGACCCCGTTCCTGACCCTCTACCTGAGGCAGCTGGGCCTGGCCGCGCCCTGGGTGGGCATCCTGGTGGGAACCCAGCACCTGGTCGCCGCCTTCTGGGCGCCCTTCTGCGCCTTCCTGGCCAAAAGCTACCAGAAAAGGAGGGTGCTTCTGATAGGCTCGCTGCTGGGCTCGGTGGGCGCCAGCCTGTCCATGGTGCTGGTGCCGCCGCTGGACAAAGACCTGGGGCACCGCTCCTGTCATGGCAGCCACCGCGAGACCCCCACAGCCCTGCCACCGGAGGCCGCACTGACCGGGAACTTCACCTCGGCCCAAGGGCCGGCCTCAAACCACCCAGCCAAGAGGAGCGCTGGGATCAGGGACACTTCTGGCTTCAGAAAAGAACCAGCGGAAAGTGTCCAAGAACCTTTCAGTCACCTGCCCAGAAACTCTGAGGGCTCTGTTGAAGGAGCCAGGACCACGGCCGAAGTTCTCCATCCTGGCACTTCAGGGGTGAAAGATACTCCCTGGGAAGGTGCTTTTGGGGTGGTCAGTACTGCCCTCCCTCTGCTTGCTGGGGGCACAGCGCTGGGAAGTCCAGCCAACTTCTCAGCAGCCAAGGGGAGCTCAGGGGCCCTCGGCCTCTCCTTGGAAGGGTTGCGATGGACTTTCATTCCCTGCTTCGTGTCCATGGTGTTCTGGGAGCTGCTGACAGCCCCTCAGGAGCAGGTGGCCGGTGACAGCCTGTTTGAATACCTGGATTTTGTGGACGCCACTGACCGTTACCGAAGCCTTTGGATCTGGAAGCTGCTGGGCACGTCGGCGGGCGTGTGCGGCATCGCAGCCTTGGTGGAGCAGCTGGACTGCTTCCTGAACACGAGTGGCCCCCGGGGCGTGGTGCACTTCTATGGCTACTCGCTGCTCAGCATCCTGGCTTTACTGGTGAGCATTGTTTTCCCCATCCCCATCGGCAGGTGCCGGGAGCCCAGCTACAAAACCAGCAAAGCACTGTCTCTGGTAGAGGGCGACCCCCGACTCATGCTCCTAGCCTTCACTGTCTTTCTGATAGGAGCCGCCACCAGCACAGTCCAGAACTTTCTGTTCTGGCACATGGAAGACCATGGGAGCAGCGAGCTGGTTATGGGTTTCTCGGTTGCCCTGGGCTTGCTGGGCGAAGTTCTACTTCATCCATTCAAAGCCACGTTGCTTAGGAAACTGTCCAGAGTGGGAACGGTGGGGCTGGGGCTGGGCTGCCTCTCAGGGCAGCTGCTGTACTACTCTTTCCTCTGGAGCTGGTGGTCTGTCCTCCCTGTTCAGATCCTGAGTGCTCTCAGCAATGGGGCTCTGTGGTGGGCGGTGGGGGCTTCAATAGAAGACCTCGCCACTCCTGGAATGGAGAGGCCTCTGAGTGCCATGTTCCGAGGCCACTTCTATGGAGGGGGAGCCAGCCTGGGCAGCTTTGTGGGGGGCTTCGTGGTGAGGCACTTCAGCCTGGCTGTGCTCTACCAGGCCAGCTGCGTGGTCCTTGTGCTCTGGCTGGCCCTGTTCCTGTCCATCCAGCCAAGACTGCCCCAGGAGCGGAAAATCAACTACTCAAAGCTGCTGATCGTGGAGGCAAGTGACACGAGCGACTCTGAGCAAGGGACGGAACGGGACTGGCTTGTGAAGGCTGGTCTGGAAAGGAGCCAAAGGACTGGGCAAAACTCAGCCTGCTGAGGGCAAAATCCACCAGTCCTGCCTAGGGGCCTAGGAAGCCCCAGGGAGAGATAAAGCACGTCTGTGCTGAAGCCCCACAGGTTCATCTCATTGTATGACAGCAGTTCAAGTTTTTAAAAAATAATGGTGGAAAAATACATTTGCTAAGAAACAAGTTCCCTCTGTGTTCACTGTTTTGGTCCGTGAGGTTTGCGAGAGCTTTACTAGTACCGATCTGGTGCTGCTGATTTCAGCCCTGGCTGGAGTGCTCAAACTGGCAGTGCCAGGAAGGCCATGGGGACCTGCAGATTCCGGCAGCAGAGGGAGCAGCTGGCTTTGATGAGTCATGTACATTCCTATGGGTCCTAAAGGGCATATGCCTGATCCTATTAAAGCCACGCTTGGGCCTGTAAGAACTGTAATGAAAACCAGAACTTTCCTCTCTCTCCCCACTGATGCACAGGTGCCCACGCTCGAACCCAGGTACTTAAGTTTCCAATAGGAGAATATTATGGAAATGTAATATGTGTCCAGGGAAGAGGGTGGAAGTTAACAGGTTTTCATTCTTACTCTCAAATGTGTGTGTCACCAGGGATAGGACCCTTAGAATTGTCTTCCATGCTTATGTCAGAGCAAAGGCAATTTTGTGTACCTTGGACCCGAGTTTTGCACACTTCACCTCACATCTGCTTTGATTAGGGTGTGGCAGCCTCTGTAGGGTTCAGATGCTGCAGGTCGTCCATGCTGCACCTGTGCCTAGTCATGTGGTGAGGTATCTTTGCAAACCCTCCCCATATCCCAGGAAACGGTCCTTTATTCCAGGAACCAGCACCCGGAGCCCAGTTCTTCTATGTTATAATCAGGCAAGTATAGGACATTAGATTTAGAAGGGGCCTCATTTCACAAATGCAGAATGTCTTATAGCTGGAGAAGGGGGACACACAGGAATGTCCACTGGGTCAGACATGGTTCTAGCAACTTTATTCTTTTAAAATTCTTCCTAAGTAGCTTTAGGGTACAAATAGCCAACAAAAAATAACTTCTACCTTAAATAATTAGGGATTCATTTGCCTCATATAAGAAGTCTGGAGGTAGGCAGTCCAGAGCTAGTACAGCCACTTAGCGATGCCCCTGGGGACCCAAATCTTTTCATCTCTTTGCTGCATCATCTTCAGCTTATAGGCATCCCTCCCATGAGTGTTCATGCACAACATGATGGCTGCTGCAACTCCAGCCCTCTCTTCCATGTCCCAGGCCAGAAGAAGAGGGCAAAGGGAACAGGGTTGAAAGCCTATATTAGGAAAACAAAAACCTTCCCAGAAATCCTTAGCAGATTTGTATGAACTGCATCCTGTGGCCACCCTGAACTGCAAAAGAGTATGGGAGGTAGACTATTTTCTACTGGGCACATTTATACTCCAAGCAAAACCAGGGTCATACTAGAGAGAAAGGGGGGCTGGCAGTGTCTGGTACAGTATCAGATGTGGCACTCACATCAGGCTTGTCTTATTCCAAAGCCCATGTTCTTTTCTGCGCAGCAAGCCTGCTTCCCACAGAAATGACTTTAGCAATCTAACCTCCCACAGCAACCCTAGGGATAAGTCAAATTTGTTCACTGCATTTTACAAACAAGAAAATGAAGCCTCAGAAAAGTCACACACTGGGTCATGGGCAAAAACAGCACCAGAGCCCTGATCTCCTTACCCCAAATTTAGTGCACTTTCTCCTTTGCCTGGCTGGCCACCAGCGTCAACTGAGGAGCATATCTGAAGAGACAGGTTCCTGGGGTCCATCAGAATCTCTCAGGTAGGGCCAGGAATCTGTATTTTTTATTGCAATCTCCAAGTGCTTCTATCAAGCACAAATCCATTTGGTTACCCTTTCCAGGCCAGCCTGTCTCACCACTCCTTCGCCGAATGCTTCTAGCATGCAGTGAAAAGAATAATAGCTATTGAGTGGTTACTATATGCTAGACACTTTCGTAAACACTCCCCACATACTAGCTCATTTAGTCCTGAATCTTAGGATGCAGCCATTATTACCATCTCTGATTTACAGATGACCAAACTGATGGCTAGGTAACCTGCTTGCAGTCACACAGCAAGTAGGTGTCAGAGCTGGGATTCAGATCCACCTGGTGGCACTGAAACCTGAAACTTTAATCACTATGCTCTATGGCCAAGACATTGAACAAAAGATGAAAAAGTAAATATTAAGACTTAAGACAGCAGTGAAATTTTCTGGATAGTAGATAGTATTTACTATGTAGACAGAACATACAATAATACCAAAATACAAACACGTGAGTCCCCCTAACATAAACAAGGGTACGAGGAAAGGGCTTGACTTAAGAAAAGAGTTAAGTCCAACCCGTGTGGCTCAGTGGCTGAGCATCGACGGAGGATCCAGGAGGTCGAGGTTTGATTCCCAGTGAGGACACATGCCCGGGCTTCGGGCTCGATCCCCAGCAAGGGGCATGCAGGAGGCAGCCGATCAATTGCTCTCTCATCATTGATGTTTCTCTCTCTCTCTCCCTCTCCCTTCCTCTCTCTAAAATCAGTAAAAATATTAAAAAAAGAAAAGAGTTAAGAAAGTAAGTGTGTTTTATCATGAAAAAGAGGAGGAGGAGCTGGAGGAAGAGACTGAGCAACATAATGGTTTAAGGATCTAAACAATTTTATGGGAAGGATGCTGAGAAATTTGTGGTTTGGGCAATTTACTATTTAACTATCTTCTATTTGTAAAGAATTAAATGCTACTTGTCATGGAAAACACAAGAATGAATAAAATATATAGCCCCCCACCCTCAAGAAGCTAATAGTCTAACTGGCAGATTTACTTCTATACATACACATGGACATAGGAAGCACGAGACACTGAAAAATGCCACACAAAGAAGCATTACAGGGGTTTGGGAAAGGCACCGGTCGTTTCTGACTCAAGAACTAAAGGAAGATTTTGTGGAATTATATGGAAACTAAGCTTAAAGGTTAGTAAACCTACTCAGTAGAGAGAGAGTGGTAGCTCGGGGAAGGGCATCTAGGCAGAAGTAAGAGCACAAGCAATGTTACAAAGGAGGGAAGCATGGGGTCTACTTGGAAAATAGCAAGAAATATCATTTGGTGGGAGCAAAGGATTTGTGTAGGCAATGCCGAAAGGCAAGGCTGGAAAACTAGCTTAGGACTGGACCATGGAAGGTTTTGATTCGGTAGACTTTGTTTGGGTAGACCATGGAAGGTCCTGGACAGTGTCATGATAGGTGAGGACTGCACTGAGCTTTTTTTAAAAAAATAGTTAGCTTTATTGACATATAATAAATCGCACATATTTAAATTTGTGCAATTTGATAAGTTTTTTTAATAAACACTTTTTTATTGATTTTAGAGAGAAAGAGGGAAAGGGAGAGAGAAACATCAATTTGTTGTTCCATTTATTTATACATTCATTGGTTGATTGCTATATGTGCCTGACTGGGGATCAAACCCACAACCTTGGTGTATTGGGACGATGCTTTAACCAACTGAGCTACCCAGCCAGGGGACAAGTTTTTAACATGTTTATACACCTATGAAACCATCACCACAATCAACATAGTGAACATATACATCACCCCCCAGAAATGTCCCCCTGCCCCCTCCTTTCCCCTCCCTCTGCCCAGCAGACAGCCACTGATCTGCTTCCTGTCACTATAAGAAATGAGTGACATTCTTTTGAGTTAATAAAGCTATTGTGATCCTCATAATCTGCATGCCTTTTCCATATGAACTGTAAACCTACTTTTGCCTCCCCTGTATATATAGTAGTTTGCATTTTTAAAGACTATACTATGTACTCCTTTATGTCCAACTTCTTTCACTTGGCATGACTGCAATGACTTCTGACACCAACTACCGAGAGTTAGGCCATACTCTACAGCAGAGGTGGGGAACCTTTTTTCCGCCAAGGGCCATTTGGATATTTATAACATCATTCGAGGGACATACAAAATTATCAACTTAAAAATTAGCCTGCTATATATGGTCAAACATGTCACTGAACTTATTAAATTTCGAGTCCTGTTTGCGGTTGCCTTGGCAGGGCCAGATCAAATAATTTCATGGGCCGTATACGGCCCTCGGGCTGGACATTCCCCACTCCTGCCCTACAGGTTAACAGCACACACTGCCCTCAGTTTAGACACCCTCGCTTCTGACTAACTGGCTACAGATTTGAAGGGGCCCACTCCCCACTCAGGTTCAAGAATTCACTAGAACCATTCACATGATTATAGTCAAAGGACACAAATCAGAACCAGCCAAAAAAAGAGATGCAGAGGGGGAGTTGTGGGAGGTCCCAAGTGTGAAGTGTCACATCCTGGTCCTGTGGAATCAGAATGCATCATGACACATGACAAGAGATGGAGTATTACCAACCAGGGAGACTCACCACGCTTTGGTGTCCATGGTTTTTACTGGGCCTTCATTCTATAGGCCTGATTCATTGAATCACTGGCCTGGGACTCAAGCTTCAGGCCTCTTCTCCTCCCCACGAAACAGCCTGTCAGGATATCCTGTGGCTCCAAGTCCCACATTTCTAACACGTGGTTGACCTTCCTGGCGTGGCCAGCCCCCATGCAGAGTCACCTCATTCGCACAGTCACAGGTGTGGTCTGAGAGGCCCACCACGAGTAACGAAGACACTCATAACTCGGAAAAATCCCAAGGATTTAGGGGCTACCTCCCAAGAACCGGGGGTAAAGGCCAGCCAGAAGCTCTAACCAAAAACACATACACAAACAAGACTGGACAAGCTAAAGGTCACGTGAGAAGTTCAGACAGTGAGAGTTTCATGAGGTCTGGGGCAGGTGCGATGGCCGAGGCTGGGAGTGCAGAGGACGCGCCCTGGGCACGAAGCCGGCGTGGCTGGCCCGCGGAACAAGGACCCGGGTCATGGAGACGGGCTGCGAGTTGTGGCTTTTACTCTGTTCACTAGCCAGCAGGTCAGTTAAGCTCCGTAAAATCAAAACTAAATAAACATTTAGTTCCCAGCCTCATGGCTATCAACAATAACAAGTTCTAATGTCTTGGTTCCAGCTACGAGAAAAGTAAATATTGAACGAGCGATTCACTTTTATTCTCAGGCTTACTTAACCATTGTTTCCCAAATTAGTTTTACACAACACTCAATCCTAGTGGG